CGATTGATTATAAGTTATAACAAATATACGTATTTGTAAGTTTTAAAATCACGATAACTCATGAGTTATTATTCGTTAGAAAAAATTCAATAGGCCTAAAGATGTGAGTTTGTATTACACAAAGTATAATACACATGGTATAAAATTATTTTACACAGACGGTATAAAAAAAAAATTAAGAAGTTATTTTTAGTTTTGTCATAAGCAATATTTTTATTATTTATTATTAACATTTATAATTGGAACATGTTTATTTTCCGTTGCGTAATCTGGAAGTCATTCTAAAAAATATATCCATAGCTGAGTAATTTTATCCTTTTCTACTTTATCGAACTATATATTATTGTTATTTATGTTATTGTATATTTAGATATTTTAGTTATTAATTTAATAAGTAATAATAATCATTTGACATTTATCAGTATTCAGTATTCACTATTCAGTAGCTAGTGAAAGACCGATAGGTATTTATTTTACCTTTGAAATCTTTAACAGTAATAGAATTGATGAGTAAGTACTTTTTATATATTATTTGTAATGATGTACTTAAGGTCTATACCGATTTTTTCAACTCTTTGTGAATTATTCGCAAATCAACATTTTTGTCTACTTTGACTGTAATTTATTACCGATCTTTATAGGGTCATTATTTTATTAAGCAACACTCATAATTTCAAAACGTATTAATGTTATAAAAAAAAAATTTTACATAATTTTCAGTCGAAAAAAATTTATTAAGTTGTATTTTTTAATATTTTTATTATATTTGTTTGAGTTTTTACTTTTTTGAATGTCAACAAACATTTTTAATTTCATATTCTAAAGTTGAATATTTTTCGAAATTTTTCATTATATAAAAATCAAAATTTAAACAAGTAGTTTATAAATTATAAGTTTATAAGTATTTAAAGTTTTGGTGTAGATAGTTAAGAGATACAGGGATATGGAACAAAGACCTATTAACCTATATGAGGTATAAATCACTAAGTACCTATATATTATGAATTATGATATGTTTTTTGATACAGCTATTAAAGTAATTTATTTTACTTTTATTTAGTACTACGGAAGATTATTTTAATTTTGCATTTAAACAAATATTACATTCATTATACTATTATTTGTGAATTGATATTTAATTATTATAATTATATATATATAAATGTTTATACAATATTATATTATTGTTATTATTTCTTGATTTAATAGCACCTTTCTGCGAATACCGTAAAACAATATGAATAGTTTCATAGTATAAGTAGATAGTATCTTAAAATGAATCCAATTATTTAGAAAATGTCAATGCGTGAAGGGCGTAATGTAAAATTTGTAATATACATAAGTGCCAAATCTATGCGAATAATGTTCATAAATTATGACATGGATGATGACAGATAGAAAAATGACATACACACACAAATCAACACATCATTATAAAATCAATGCATATCGGAGAGATGAGTTCCGCTCAAGCCTCAAAATTTATAAGGGTTCCGTAATACGATTGTCGTTCAATTTTTTTGTTATTCTACGAAATTATTTATCATAATTTATAGCTAAAACAAAATTATATCTAATGATTATTACGTTGTCGTCGAATTCCGCGACAGCCGACATGAGTATGTACATAGTATTATGTACATACGTAGATATTGCGCGCGGCGCTCGAAGCGTGCAAAATTTTTAGGTTCTATGACGTTTACAGTCAGTTGGTTACAGCGGCATAGTAACTATTATTACTATAACGTTCAAAATCGCGGAAATGGAGGTGGTTGCCGCCATGTTAAAAAAGTGCGAACAACGTGTATTCTAATGCGTATTGCTAGGGCATCCGAGGTCATCTCCACTGCCGTCGCCGGTTGATGAACATTAATATAATATTATATTGGCAATGCCTATAAGTACGATCACGTTTCCTAGCGAGCTAATCAGATTTTCGCTCGACAACCCGCCTCCAGTGACGTAGTTATGAGGGTTAGATCCCCCCCCTCAGAACCACTTTTTTATGTTTAACGCATTGACTTAAACTCGATATAAGATTATAAAATTACCCATCACGGTTATAATATGCAATATAGGGCTATAAGGGCACGGTTATAAGCCCCACTTTATGTTTATCTAATAAATTATATATTTTCTCCCAGAACAAAATCATAACTATGCTCGTCTTCAACCAATAACTATAACACCATATCGGAAACGAGTGATAATGTCTCGTTTTCAAATCACTAACACGAAATCAAACTTTGCGCGGCGTATCTGCAGAGTTTATATAATTATTAATTCTTTAAGGGGGGGATTCGTACCGTAGGTTTTTAAAGAGTTCAAAATAGGCAATTTTCAAAGTGCTTTCGCTCTTGTCGCGTCAATGTTGCAGAGTTGACGTATGTGATGACCGATGATTATAATGTGTGTGTAAATACATAGTAACTGTAGTCGTAACAACTAAAATTAAATAAATGGTATACATTATATATTATATTTAAATTATTAATCACAAATGTCATTCTACCCATAACAAATCATTAAAAAGTATAAAAAAAAAATGTTATTATTATTTGATGGTAACATAATTTATTTTTTTAGTAAATCGTGTAGTTTTTTTTATTTTATTTTTTTATATTTTTGTTTTTATTTTTTCGAGTTTTTCTTTTGATCTTATATTATTTATAGCCATTTTAACTTGACACAAGTTGTACCTATAATATTTTTATTTATAATGAAATTTACTATTGTCATAAACGACATAAACCGTCATGGACAATGGATATATTGTATAAAATATTATATAATACGCAAAAAATATTATGTACAAAAATAAATTGATGGAAAATATTAAAGGTGAAAATATATAATATTATTAATCTGGCTGTATTTTATTCAAAAATTTGATTGACCCGATATTTTTCCGTAACGTTTGAGCATATTATGCACACGTTATTCTTTTTTTAGTGCATGTTCTAATAGTTTATACAAATGATAAATTTCCTATTGGTCCATCTTTAATACTTATATTATTTACGGACTTACGATATATATTACTTGATGTAGGTACAAGTGCTTATAAATAGTAAGAAGAAAAAGTCTACGATATTCACTTATGATATTAATTTAGTGTAATAAATATTATTTTATTTTTATTTTTATTATATATTATTTTTATTTTTTTCATTGCACAATAATTTTTTATTGAGTAATTAATTGTAAATTATAAGCAACTTTTTATATTTTCAAGGCACTTTGAAACCTTTAAAATAGTCCAATTAAATAAAAATTAACACTTTCTCTGCAAAAATAACATTTTTAATGATATTTTATAAACAGACACATAAAAATTTATGAATTAAAATATTCATACATTATATTTTGATAATAACTGTGTCTGGGATAAAATATTAATTCAATTAATCAACAATTGCAATTATTATGTGTGTCATGAGTTCATCTAAATAGTTCCCAAAGTAACATTAGGCTGTGAACGTATTATTAGTAATGTAACCTAAAAAAGAAATATGTTGCTAATTGATTGGCTAGTCAAAGAAAAATTGACAAAATATTGATTATAGGTGAATAAATGAAACACAGAGACGGGTTAAAGTAATAATTTTTTTATTTTTTTATTTCACAATTAGAAATACACAATCTGTACAACGTAGCACAATAAGTATATATGATATTATAATAGTAACATGAATATTTTGAAATAAGAAATCACCTATTGGTGACACTGGGCTGGGAATTAACGCTGTCAGAGTCTAGAACTTCGTTGTTGTTTTTTTTTTTTTTTTTGTAATAATAAGTTACGGCACCAGTTCCTTTTTAGACGACGCCGGGGGTTTCCCGGTATGTTTTGAGTGCAGAGGCTCTTTATCAATGGATTTTGGTGGGTTTGTAGGCGATTATGAAAACGTTTGTAAAAATCTACAACTTCTTCTGTCACAGTTTTCATTGTGAGGTCTTTATGTAGGGTATAATTGGACAAAAAAGATGGAACATTTGTAATTTTTCTTAGAGCAATATTTTGGAACTGTTGGATTTTGTTGGTATTAGATACTTTAGTACCCCACAATTGAAGACCGTAATAATTGCAGTTAAAATGTTGTATAATGTAAATAGTCGTTAATGTTATTTGTTTTATTATTTTTTTTTAATAATGCAGGAAGAATGAAATTTTTGCAAGTAAGATATTTTTATTAAAGTAAGTCAGGCCTATGAAGCAGATGTGCTGAGGTAACAAAAATTGTATAATTTAATATAACGCCGCCAAACAACAGTGCAGAGGACTCCGGATCAGTCCTAGGAGTCGTGCTCGGTCCGTGGTCGTCGAGGTTTTTGACAAGATACTGAAGGACGACAGGAGTATTTTTGTTAACAGTGTTTTTGTTTTAATAAATTGTGTTTTCAACCAATGATCGTATATATTTTGTTTGAGTAACCACGAAAATCTGTCGCACTCCTTTTAATCCAATAGAGGTATATTACACTGAAAGGTTATATGACAAAAACAAGATAGTAATATTATTAACTGGAAATATTTTTATTAATAACTATAATATCTTTAATAATATAAACGGATTTTGTCAAAAACTAAAAATTAAAAAATATTTATGTCTTATAACATTAAACATCATACAAAAAGATAGATATAAAGTCAAGACATAATATTTGATAAAAAAATTATATAAATACACACACACACACACACACAGATCAGTGGCGTGTGGTAAAGGCAAGCAAGGCAAGTGCCGCATGCCCGCTTAAAAATAAAAACTAAATGTATTTAATTAATAATGTTAGTTGGCAATATATCATATTTTAATATAGGTATTTTATTTTAGTTGTAGTATACTTCATCATCTGTATAATAAAATACTAAAAAAAAATTGATTTTGTAATTTAGATATTTATTTATAAGCTTTAATACTATCACATACTACTGATATTATTTATGTATATATAAATAAATGACAAATGTACTTAATTGTACGCTAACAATGGTATTTAAGTATTTGTATGTGTATGACCACTCCTAACATTTTGTTCTGATTCGTTTACCGGTATAAGTTTTTTCATACGATTTAAATGAATGTTTAAAGATTCAATTTTCTTTTGTTGAAATTGTTTTGATTCGTTTGGGATTCGACCTTTTTACGAAAAAGAAATCATTTTAACAAATTATAGAACATGAAATAATATAAAACTGAAACTTACACATTTTAAATTTTACAAAACCGTTTGTATGGTCAATTGAGCCTTTAATGCGTCCTCCAGATATCATTTTTCCTGCTACTATTTTGACTATTTCTGGTTCTAGTTCTAATAAATGGCCAAGTGACTCAATTTTTATACATTTATAAAGTTTTTTGATCGAATTAATATTATGTTCTGCTATAGCTTCAATCAATATGGTAGTACCTAAAAAATTTCAAATATGTACAATTATATGTAATGTATTTAATGTGTGCTGTTGTAAAAAATTACCATAATTTGTATTCACTCTCTGATGTGGCAATAGCATTTTTTCTATTTGTTCAATTTCGCGTGGTTTGATCATACGCTCTACGCACAGTTTTTCAAGGATTGATAATTTTATGTACACTTTACATCTTTCATCTTTGAACAAAGATTTCAACAATTGAGTTCGAATGTTATCTATAACAAAGTTTATTGATTAAAAAATTGTAGTAGGTACAGTAACTAGTACTAAGACATGTGTTATAAAACAGTCATAAATTTACAATGATATACAACTAGTATTAAAATATTACTGTTATAAAAATAATTTGTAATTTTTATAATTAAATAAATCTACCTCATAAGTATGACTTCGGCCTATCATAAACTCAATTTAGTTTACGGCTAATATTGTTTTTTCTACAGAAAGTTTTCGCTAATAAAATTGATTGCTTATTATTACTATCAAAACTTAACTTTAGTATTCTGTCTCATATAACCCGTTTAATTAAAACTTTTTATTTTCCTTTCCAATCAACTAATTATGAACTTAACGAACCTATATCTCATACACTGCTTTATGTCAATACCAATTTTTCGTTCTTTTTGTTATTAATATTATTTTTTTGTATATAATGTAACCAAATTATTTATTCGTCTTGTCTATATTATTATTATATTTTTCATACAGAATCATTACTATACTTTTGTCATAATACTGCAATTTTTTTAATTAAGAGAACGTTATATCTTACCAGTTAATGATAAAATTGTACAGACAATCGTATTCTTCACAGCTGTCATACGTTCATTCTCACTTAATGATGGATAGTGCGATAATTCATAATATTGCTGTGCAGCATCAATAAATTTTAGACGGAAATCCATCATTCGTGCAACACAAATTTTAAAATTTAAATGAAGATCTCTATTTAATGTTAGAGTCTGAAAAAAATTATTTAATGTGTTATTATTTATTTATATCATATCCTTATTTGCATTCCTCCTTATTTATGTTCTGCAGACATAAAATGTGATAATAGAATATTAGTAAGCAAAGTATTCAGTCTATTACCTATCTATGTCACATATCATAAAATAATAATAAAAATAAAACTTTATCATGATATTAATTTATAGTTTTAACTATTATCTTTAAAATATAGTTTCATCGCTTAAGTAAGAATCGAAAAAAATGTAAATAAGTTTTAATTTATAAGTGTAATGTCATGTTGTTAAATCGATTCCAAACATTGGGTATTAAATTTTAATTATAATTTTATCGAGTATAAGACATACTTGCGTCATTGAAGCTTTTTTTACAAAAGGCCCTGCTAGCAATGGTTCATTACTTTCCATATACAGACGTGCAATTTTCATGTATAATTCCAGTTCATAATCAACAGAAAATCTTAAAAATATTTTAAACTTGTAATATATGTCATAATAATAGATATACCTACTAAGATAAGTCAATAAAAAAAAGTTTAATCACCTGTAATACGATTCCATTGGGATGTTGGCAAGCATATATGCTGCTTCCTTCCAATTTTCCTCTCCCTCGTAAATGTATGATAAATGGTGACAGATAACAGAAATATGGTATTCAAAATCAACCTCTCTCGATTTCATCTAATAAAAAATCAAAAAATAAATAATTTTGTTGGTAACTCATAAGTATACCAGTATATAGCAGTCTTCTTACTTTTTCCTGCATGAAATGAGCCAATAGTTTAGACTGTGGATTAGGCAACCAGGGTAAAATTTTCATACATAAATCGGAAAAGATTTGTCGGGATACGAACAAGGTGACGTTATTCTTAGCAACTGAAATCGAATAAATAAAATAGTGGTGTTTCAATGGTTTTAATTCTGAGATTATGTTAACACATGAAAATAATACTGTATAATAATATATACTTAAGTTACTAACGGAATTCGACGATTACTTTCAATATTTCTATCATATTGGCCGACCATATTGAAATGACGTTGGTTATCAAAATCCTACACCTGCAAAAGTTAATTAACAATGTTATTATACTATTAGTCGAACGCAGATTTCTGTTCAATCGCATATTTTTCTCCTTTTAACTTTTTTGGATTTTATCAGTCAGATTTTTATCTTCATGAATCATAATAATTTTAATTTAATGATAATTTTTTTTTTTTACATATTTCTGTATATTTAATGGTTATTGCATACCTATTTGTATAAAATTAAAAATGTATTGCATATTAAAGAAAAAATTTTAAAAAAATGTATCAAATAATATTTTTTCAAGTAGAAATATTAAAAATAATTTTGTTACTAATAATAAATTTATTATTTGTATTGACCGATGTGTTTTTCTAGCGGATTTGATGACTTAAATCTGCAATCGTCAAATAACCTATAAGCGTTTCGCAAAAAAAAAAAATTAATGTATCTCACTTAGTAATTCGTTGAACGTCAGACGACCACAAGTTAAAAATTTGGTTTAAATCGTGGCGGACTTGGTAAGTGGACAAGGCCATGATTTATCCGAACACGTGCAAAGTGTAATAACTGACGAGATAATATCGACGACAACAACGTGACGATTCGTTGCGTTGTGATGGACAGCGGGCAACTGGATTAACTGCTGAGTGTTCTTAACGGAAAAGCCAAATGCAACGGATGACGATTGGACTGACAGCGCGCGAACTGTAACGTGACTGAAAATCGAACAGGTGAAATCGATTTGAAGTTGAATAAACGTTAAGCGAATCCGACCAAGTTCAAGAAGACAAATAGATGGAACGATTGTTCTGTGAGAAGTGAGAATGACGAATGAAGACTATACCGCACAAGTGTATAACCGACAGCAGAGGAAATCGAGATATCGACATTCGACCTCGGTCGACCTATAAAAAATGATAAAATAATATTATATATTATACATAATAATAATCATTAACGAAAGTTTATCGTGGCACTGAACGGCATGTCAGACTTACATATTAGGCGGCTGTTATTCGTTAAATTTCTGTTATACTATTCATGCTTACAAATTAATCTATGTTGGTAACCGACAGGTCAAAATCCAACCAGAACGCACTACGTGCTTATCTGTAACCCAACAACGTCCTGATCATATTTTCCATAGACATAATATATTAATATATTTAAATAATACTTATTATAAGGCTGTAACGTTGTAGAAAAATGCATTATTTATAGCTAACTGTTTAACGTAGCTCCTTTTAATAGAGAGTTTTATTTAGAATTTAGATAATAATGAATTCACTTTTGAAATTTTTATTTTGCCAATTTTTGGTTAATTATATTATTTTTTTTTTTTGCTTTTTTATGTCGTTTTTAATTTTTAATTTATTTTTCAATATATAATAATAATAATAAAAATAATTTTTCTATTAATCCTCACTAATTTAAACTTTATACGCGTGTTTTAAAAACTTTTTATTTTAATTTTTGTCTGAACGCACGTCGTATCTAATAAATTAACATTATCTCAATTTAAAATATTTTACACTTTATCAATTTTTATATTTTTGAAAATATGATTTCTAAATATGCTTGCATTGTATTCTATACTTAATTTATTAAGATTTAAATTAATTTATAAGATTTTTAGTGTATTGTTTTTGGGATTTATAATGCATTTTAGGTTCTACATTCTTAAGGTTTTTATTTTTTTAAATATTTTCTCATTATAAAAAAAAGAATAAAATCTCTAAATTTAATGCAGTGTGATATGAAACCACAATCGTAGTTATGTGTATATTTTTTCCTATTAATGTTGATTAAAAATTTTCACTTGATCAAAAAGGTTAAAATTTTAATATAATATTTCTTACAAGTCAATATCATAGATATTAAAAATTTATATTAAAGATACACAGGCATTAATTTTTTTTAAGGTATTTTAAATGCGTATTTTAGCAAATTTTTCAAAATCATGAAAATATGCAATTAATTTTGTAGTTAAAAGTTTATAAAACTTCCAATTTTTGTAGCTTAAAATTGAAAATGTAATTACAAAGTTTCTCTTAGTAGTTCATACTGTAATCAAAATTCTTGTAAATATACATAAACATAGCTTTTTTATAGAATTTAATTTCAAATTTTAATGAAATTGAATATTTAAATTAAGCATACTTAATGATTTTAATTATTTTGTTGTTATCTTAAAACACTAATCCTGGGTATGGTACTCAAAATTTTAACGTATATATTATTATATTTTATGTACGGTGTTTTCAGAAAAAATGTATTTAACCTACCGTAGTACTGTATCACTAAAAGAAAAATAATTTACTTTAATAGATATAAATATATCATTAATACTTAGTAATATTAACTGATGAACGCCTCCGCTCAGAATCGTTTTTTGTATGCAATAATTTTATTGCGCACAAAAAATGATCTATGAATTCAAACTTAGTATACAATACATTACATTGATTCACTCTTTAATGACAAAATACAGTCTATGACTACTGTACAATAGAGTAGTTGCTTATTTTCCCTATTTTTTGAACTGTAACAATATACTTATAGCTATTATTTGTATATTGTATTTGAATACTTAATTTCACAAAGTACAGAGAATCTATGTATTCATATTCAAATCTATTGGATGTAATGTATTTTCAACTACAAAAAAAAAAAATGTTTATTACTATGACCAAGGTACCTATTTTTAAAAAGTAAAAATTTAAAAAAAAAAAGTGTTAGTGTTGGAAAAATGTACGGTGATCAAGTACGTAAAAAGAATTATATTTTTTTTTAAATATTTTTTTTTTTTTTTTTGGGGGGGGGGGGGGGTGGTAAATAATTTTAAATACAATTTTTATTTTTATTTTTCTTACGTGATTGATAAACAAACTTTTATTTTTAATTTTTAAAAATTTCGATGTTGGAGGGTTCAAACCCTAGGACGCTCCTGGATACGTGCCTGATTATGATTGACATGTCAATGATATTCATTGCTATTAACCTCACACGAGATCTGTACAAATCTTACACATATTGTAGTTTAATATTGACTTATTGGTACTTATTATAGCCAACAGCCAGTCTGTAGATAATAAAATAAGTCTCTGAATTTAAGTGTAATCATACTTAATTATCCTTCTATAGAAAAGGTGGACATTAATGAGTTAAAAAATTAAAGTCGAGTTATCTAACGAGTTACTTACTTAAAAAATAAATAAATTATTTATACCTACCTACTTAACGAGGTGAGTTTTTCTAAGTAGTGTAGTTATTAAAATTAGTTACTTAATTTTATAGTTAGGTTAAGTTATTTCTAATATAAAACACAGATTCAAAGTATATTTTGTTTTGTACAAGTTATTGTTTTTATAAGGAAAAAAAATAATCGAAAAGAGTCTATGGTTATATACAATATAATATAATATTATACATCTAAATGAAAGTATAGATATTATTAAGTATTCAAATAATTTTTTGGTATCTAAAATTTTTTTTCAATTATAAAATACTTTTTGTTAGTATTTTTATTCCAGAATACAAAATATTTTTTTTATTTTGCCATTGTATTTCAATAACCAATATTTTTATATTTCAAATTTTGTTTCTAAAATAATACTTTTTAATGGTTCTAAGAATTTATAATAAAATTACACGAATGAATTAAAATAGCTACAATTTTTATCTACTTAATATAAGTTTAAATCGACATAATTAGTTAATAACTATATCATAATACACGTATGTAAATATGTGAAATTTGTAAACTTATTAAAATATTTTTTAACTATTTAACTAATATATTTTTAAATTAGTTAAAGTATCTATTAGTGATTAAGCATGTAAAATGTTTAAGTACTTTTAAAATGTATATGTATTTGTATTTATATTCAAATACTTTTGAAAGAAAGTACTTGTAAGCATATTTAAAATACAAATGACAACAAATATTTAAATACACGTATTCTGAATACCTATATATAAAAAGTATTAACTGTGGATAATCAAAGTGATTAATGCATTTTTTTGGATTTCGTGTAGTTCAAAATCATAGGCGTAGGGTGATCAAATTTTTTTAAGGGGGGGGGGGGGGGAGCCCCCCCAGCGGGGGAAACATACTGATTCATGGAGGGCTTCGTCTGCATTTTTAGGGGGTTATTTTCCAAACTGAGGGGGGGGGGGGTAAGCCCCCCAAGTCTCCTAACCACGCCTATGATCAGAATAAAGCGAGTGTGTAAACATATAATTATATAAATTTACATTTAAAATTACAATCTCATTCAAATATATTAACTTAAAATCGCACAATAACAACACTTCCAGTTAATAACCCAGTTATAGGTACGTTTAAAAAGATTCCACCCCGTCTGTATTTTTCCCGAAATAAATTTATTATAATATTATGCTTATTAAGTATTTTATTTATAAAAATCTATACATTTTAATTACAAAAATGTAAAGTTTTCGTGTACAATTACCTTAAAAAAGTGCGTTTTTAACCTTTTATAAAAGTGTGAAATCGTCTCGTATTTTATCTTAAGTATGTGGTTATTTAATTAATAACCATTTAATGACGATTTTGAAGAAAAACCGTTTCAAAATCATCAAAATATGCCGTAGAATTTAAAATTGTACATACATAAAATATTATTGTTCTGAGCTTTGTGGCCTGATCAGTATACAAGCAAATACCTATATAGGTAATTGTCGTAGCATTAAATTACACATTTACACGTCTTATACAGTAGGTATCATAAAATAACATTACAATGCATTATATATTACATACCGTCCGTACACAATCCATTAAAACTGAACATGAGGCAGTTCATCTGATAAAGAAATCCTCGAATTCTGAAAATAAAATTTTTATCACAGTTTGAAGTACGTATACAATACACACGCACATGAGAAATCTCTGATCGCCCATAACTATAATGACTATATTGTGTATAACATAGAATATAATGTAATAATTAATATGTGATATGACTTTTTGAACCCCACTTCCATTATTTTTTTTTCAAATTCATTATACGTGTCTACTGTCTATATAATATAACAGTAGCTGAACTGTAGTTCACGTCTTATCGTAAGACGCAACACGTTTTTTTTTTCAATAAATAATATGAATGTAAAAAAAATTATGTAATTGAAAAAATATAAAATTTATTTAATTACATTTTCTACGAAAAAATGTATATGAAACATAGCATTTTTGATTATACATTTTTATGTCTTTAATGTAATATATTTATACGTAATTGTTTTTTAAACTTCAACGTATTTTTTAATTCTTGATTGACATTTAATTTAATGTAAAGTATTTGTCGTGTTTTCCTTTTTTTTTTTTTTTTATGTAAGTTTTTATGATGTCTGGTTCATGGATTCTTAGACAAGGCTCTATGAAAATGAGCACTTATTCCCTGTCTAATTAGAATTCTCTGCGTTTTCTTTTTCATACTCTTGTTTCGTAGATATGATAATATTATTATTATATAGTAACATACAACGTCGAATAGCACAATAGAGACTTGTTTGCATGTAGGTTAGGTTATATTAATATATTATTTTGAAACAAAATTATTCTGTACAAAATTTAATCTGACATTACAGTACGTTATTATATTGTAAAATGTTTCACATTCTACACTTGTTATAATATATTATTATTTGAATATCTTATCTTAGGTTAAGTAAGGTTAACTGAGAATCCTTTTTTTCCTGTTCTTGGTTTTTATATATTTTTTATTGATTATTATTTATTATATTGCGCAGTTAGTGATTCTCTTATCGCTGAAATTTTGTTAC